TAGACTCAAGGACAGCTTTTACAACAGGGCAATAGCCCTGATCAATGTAAATAGCTGACCTGACTGGATACCTCCCTGGACTTTTTTAGGGGGGAGGTAACAATGTTTAAAACAATAACAATAATATTTATATTTATAACAAGGTGCAATAATAATTAATGTGCAATAATAAAAGTGTGCAATACACATACACTTATTCTTCTTTTTTATACTAAGTTAATATACTGTGTTGTGTTGTTTGTTGCGTTGTGATGTGTCATATCGTGTCGTGTTGTGTTATATGTAGTGCCGACGTAGGACAGTTTTTCCAATTTCATTGTACTACTGTACTATGTATGACTGTGCAATGACAATAAAGAGTTATCTTATCTTATCTTATCTAACAGTGGGGAGAAAAAACTCTTTTCTTTATCAGGAAGAAACCTCGGGCAGAGCCAAGCTCAGGGAGGGGCAACCATCTGCGGTTATTGTTTGCAGTCAGGTGAGCTATATGAATACATTTTAATTGAATTACAAACAACACTTGTGCAGCATTAAAATAGGAAACAGACCAGAATTATTGTTAAGGTTTCAGCCACAGAGAGCTTTCTACTTGCTGTGAGGAAGATCCTGTGCAACAGCAGAACTGCTGTGCATGACAGTGTAGTTCCAAACAATAACTTCAGAGCAGAGTTCAAACCAGAGGTAGAACAATGGTCTATCAATACAGCTCCAGTCAGGGTGAAAAGGATTTGTTAAACCATGTTATTTGAAGCTACAGCAGGGTAGGCCATTGTCAGGATTTTGTTATTCTGTACAAAAGCAAACAATGGCCAGACTCTGGTGCAGATCTATGAATGCAGACCAGTCTGTGAACCTCAACCTAAGCTGTGTGAGCTCAAACGGGCATCTTTTCCACAGTGAGTCTGAAAAACAGTCCACTGTGTCACACAGTGTGCCAATTAAGTTGTAGGGAAACTAGCTAGCTTTTCTTTTCTTTCCCAAGTCAAGGAGCAGTCCTAATGACTGGTGAGCCTCGCAGAGTCACTCTGACAGACACGTACTCCTTCGTCAAGGCACATTGTCAGGATTTAAACAGTACCACAGCTGGCTGTACAGTCCACTAAAGCTGCAGAATGTACTACTTTGCATCTCAGATATCAGCAGGTTTCAGAAAAAACAGTCACTACAGGCGTTGAAGGCCAGGCTGGATATTTCTCTCTAGGTGGAGGCAACATTAAGAGCATTAAGCTCATGTTTGTGGGATGGTGAATGCTTAACCTCACTCGCTGCCTTTATTGCTGCAGAGGTTTTAAAGTCAAAGAGCCATAAATGACATGCACTTTGAACTTGGCACTGACCTGGAACCAGAGTTGACAGACCATAGGAAAAGAGGTTTAACTACTATATTTATTAACACAGGAAACCCTTAGAACATTTTGCATTACTGCTTAACTTGTATGTATTGCAACAAAAAAGTTCAACTTATGTAAATAAGATTTTTGTGAGCATCATTTGGGATTTTGCTCCAGAGTAAACTAAACTGATGGGCTGGGAGCACTGCAGAAGAAACTAAAAAAAATGGACTCCTGCAGCTGGCCGTCTTGATGTAACATTTTCAGGTCAACACTGCACTTGCAGGCTTGCGCTCAGGTGTGATCTGAGAAACGTGACACTATAGTCTGATGCCTCCCATGGCTCTCCACCATGTTAACATGAATATTGTAAAGTGAATAGTAAAAAGGCTGGCTGCATTGAGGTGTAACATGAAGCAGGCAGGGTGTGCTGAGAAAAAGATCTAACCTGACTCCAAGGCCGATATGCCCCCAGATGTTGGCCAGAGAGACGTCTTTTGCTTGAAAGGGCTTTCTCTTCTCCTTGAACTCGTGCGCCAGACAGATACGCCAACCTTCCTTGGGCACATTGTATCCCATTTCCTTGGAGACATACCTGCTCATGAGGTCTGCTGTGGATTTCTCACTCCACTCTGAAGTCATTTTGCAGACTTTTAAACAATGACAATGAAACTTCAGGTCTTGAAACACTTACAAGCAGGGAGTTGCTAACAACTATTGTAGCCAGAGCCAACTTACAGTGCCCTCACCACGGACCAAAACCACTAATGTGGTAGTCAGTCACAAGTTTCAGGAGTAATAAAAGCGCCGGTGTCATTCCAGTGGGTTAAACCTGTTCTCCACTGATAAGCTCTTAAGGCTTGCTCAATGAATGAATCCAAATTTAAGTTGGAAGTTCCTGTGCCATTCTTTAGTTGTAGCATTCATCCAGTCTTTTCATATCCTCATGGGCGTCTTGATGCAACCCCCACCCTTTGATTTCTGTTTTGGTCGACCCCCTCCCCACCCACTCCTCAGCACTGAGTCCGGATGTGAATACGCAGCTGTCAGCACCGACGGATGGGTGGATGGATAGCTGACGGCGAAATACCAGCAGAATTTTTTAGCCGGAACACCTAAGAACAGAACAAAAAGCAATGGTTAAAATGCGGCAATCACATTTACACTGTGCACATTCAGGGGGCCAACATCAAGTAACAGCCGGTTAGCTGCAAAGCTGAAAACACACAATATAATCGCACCTTAAACGGTGACCACGGAACGCCTCTTTGCTTTAAAGCCGTGCAACAGAATGCGACTTTACAAGTTAGCCCGCTTCTAAGAGCAAGAGACGCATAAAAATGAGTTTGAAAATGCCAGAGGGATAGCGTTATCCATATCCAGACTCGAGCGGATCTCAGTGAAGTGCCTGTAGCTTCTGCTAGCTCGGCGCCCAGTATGCAAAACCTTTTTGCCTGTCATAGATATCGAGAAACCTTTGCCCCTTTCGTTGTCTATCAGGCATCAATGTTCTCAAGCCACGTTCTGATAGCGCCCCTTTTAATAAACTCGATAGCGCCAAGCTTCAATCAGAGCACTAACTTTTTATTAGATCTAACAGAGGAAGCGTTAACTGTTACGATTACACGGAGTAATAAATAGCAGTTAATAATGCCTGACAAAGCTGACTCTGGGTATAGTAGGGGAACGAGAGTGCAAGCCAAAAAAAAAAAGCCTCCGGTGGAGACCATACCATTTAGACGGAAAAGGGGGAGTGGAGTCATTCTGGTCTTCAACTATTCATTTAAGTTCTACTTGACACTGTATGCATGGTATAATATGAATATGAAATTCAACGGAATATTCAAAATTTTTGTCTGTCTTAATTTAAAACTTTCAACATAAATTCTACAAATCAAAGATTCTTTGTAATCACTGAGTTTACCCCTTCCGTATATGCTACCATAGCAACATCACACACTCGCTTACTATATTTTTTAATATATCCAAATTTTAAATAACGTATTATTTTAAAGGTGATCTTAAAATATCGTACGAAAGGAAAAATATATGTATATATATTCTTATATGTTATTAATCTTATTTCCATTTCCCGTTGTTCGTGATTGGTAAAACAGCACCGGAAACAGAATGTCTACGTATTTTTTTTGTTTACTGTAGCCAGCTGGAATGCTAGCTAAGTAAGCTATGCTCGGATTGGCATGAATTGAGAAATTTGGTATACTTTTATTCAAGAAGTGTATTTAGGTTTCTTCGGGGATAACATTGCGTATTTGCTTTGCCGCAGTGTCGCGTGAAGTGAAGGTATGTGATAAACTTGTCCTTAAAACTACAGTCATTAGCAAAGAGGGCCAACAAGTGAAATTCATACTGGCTGTATGTAGGTCAAACTGTAACGACAAAAAAAAGTACATCAGATAGAACTGCAATGTGCTCACGATATTATCGTTTACGTTTTTCATTTTCTAACGTAGCGTTGTCGGTTCGTAACGTTATAGATGATCGAGGTTGTGGCCTCTATGGCCCGAGGCTCAGTGTTTCTGGCCGGGGAGCTCATGGAGTGTCTTGTAACTTTCACCAACCCGATATCTCATCTTTCCACCTCGGCGAGCAGGTACGATTTTACAAGTTTGCTCCTTGTTCAATGAGATTGAAAATAAGGGAATATCAGCCATGTGTTATTCTTTGTTTTGACTGTCGTGTGTTAATATGCGGGCTTTTAATTAGAGTAGGTTTTGTTTTGGCAAGATTTACAGAAAAGGATTCTTAATAATAACACGTTTCTGATATCCTGCTGTTAGAATATTTTGTAATCTAAATGATTTCTTTGTTTCCTTGGGAAGTATAGAGAAGGTTAGAAGGATTTACACGTCTTCTGGAAGGATCTAGAAAAAGCGTGCGATGGTGGTGAAATATATGAGGACAGCAAAACAGTGGTGAGGTGTGCAGTAGGAGAGACAGATGGATTCAAGGTAGGGGTAGGATTACAACAGGGATCTTCTCTGTGCCCCTTCTTATTTGCAGTGGTGTTGGTCAGGCAAGAGTCCCTGAGTACTGAGGTGGTGGTATGCACTGGAGGGAAGAAGAATGAAAGTCAGTAGAAGCAAGACAAAATGCATGTGTGTGAATGAGAGGGAGACAGATGGAAAAGTGAACATTTAAGGAGACAGGTGAGTGAAGGAGCTTAAATTCCTGGGATCAACCATCCACCCAGGCAGGTGGAAAAGAGGAAGACCTTAGAGGAGATTCATGGATGTAGTGAAGGAGGAGGGTTGGGTTAACAGAGGATGCTGGAGATGGGGTGAGGTGGCGGCGGGTGATCCACTGTGGTAACCTGTAAACGGAGCAGCTAAAACAGGAAGGAGTTGGCTTTTTTATTTCACTTCTTTTAACACAGTTATTAGGATTTATATGGTGTCTTGTGACCTGGTGTTGTTGGTAGACTGTAACACAGAGGACACTGAAATAATTGTACCCTTGTGTAAGCCTTGTTGTCTGATTCTGATTTTTGTTCCAGTGAGATGCTGGCATGGGCCAGTGCCCAGATCCACTGTCAGTTTCATGCAAGTGAGAACAGAGTAGCCTTGCCGGCTCAGGGCAACAAACAGGATGTTCAGGCTGAGAGCGAGACTGTGCTCATCCCAAGCAGAGGTAAGAAATAAAATATGAAATCTAAGACTGGCAGAAATAGTATAAACTTATCTAGGTTTCCCCAATCTTATAAACAGTACATTTGCATAATGACACCACTTCAGTGGATGTATGGGTCATACATCCAACTGCCTTACAGCCATGCAAGGTTCACAAGGTGAATTTAAAAAAGAACATCCCCAATACTGGATAAATTTGCTGCTGTGTCTGCTAACAAGTCTTCACACACAATGAAAAGTAGCAACATATTAGTAGCCTTTTTTCCATAGCTTTCTTAGTGTGTAATACATTTAACATCTCCTGCTTTGTTCTCCAGGAGAACGAGGGCAGTGTGTGCTGGACACTCCTCCTAAGATATTATTCTGTGACCTGCGCCTGGACCCTGGAGAGAGTAAAACATGTACATGTCTTTACATTTGTGGAAAAAAGTTAACAATAATGTGAAGTGAAATATCTACACTGCTGTTAAAGAATGAAACACTTAACACAATAATGATGAGGTTTCTAGATGGTTTCCCATACATAGCATTATTTCATTTGTGTGTGTGAGACTCAGACAGTCTGGCAAACATTGTCATTCTTTTACAGACTCATACAGTGAGGTTGTTCCCATTGATGGGCCTCCCAGTTTCCGTGGTCAGGCGGTGAAGTACGTCTACAAACTGACCATTGGCTGTCAAAGGGTCAACTCGCCCATCAAGCTACTTCGTGTTCCCTTTAGAGTGTTGGTTCTGCAAGGTGAATGGACTTTTGACCGACTCTGGCTTTCATTTTACAGTTGTAGCCACAGAGAAACAGGGGTTGAAAGATCTTTGCTTCAGCTGTAGTATAATATTAGAACGACAGCAAAACCAGAGAAGTATTGGCAAAAAAAATACTGTGGATATAAACTTTTGTTGTGGTCTCTTAACCAGGCATGTAGATTTTCATTTTTCTCTGGACAGCAAAAAGAGTCTGATTATGTCACAGTTACCAGAGCTCTTTGCTTTATAGAAAGTACTTAAAACGTTGCCAAGAAAATTGACTTTAAAAAATGAGAATCTTTTATCTGATGTTGGTGTTTTTTGCATGTACCCACATAGGCATGCCAGAGCCTCCATTTCCCCAGGATGAAGAGGTTTGCCCCTCCAACCCTTTCCTGGAGGAAGAGGAAGTGAGCCGCAGGGACTCTCGGCCTTTGGAGAGAGCACTGGACATGTTAATGGTCACCACCTCGAGGCGCTACCCCCGTGAGTCAGATTCTCTGCCCTTCTGCTCTTTGCTGGAGTTTAAACTCTAGTTTGTGCAAATTGTTTTTAACGTAAGCGTCACCCCTTTTTTCTTTGGGGATATTTTGACAAATTAAACTGTTTTCCTCACTATTTTAGTTGTTACATTCACATAAGCGTGTACATCTATAAAATGGTGGCTTCATTCGGTACCTGAAAGGCAAAAATAAAAGCAGCAGATTCTTTTTGTGTCTCCACATCTGATGTGTGTGTCTTTGTTTTTTCCAGATATGTTTAATATCACCAACATGCGTGGGAAAGTAGCAAAGTTCTGCATCTTTAAGACTGTTTACAGACTCGGGGAGGACATCATCGGCACGTTTAACTTTTCAGAGGGAGACATTCCCTGCCTGCAGGTGTGTTTGCTCTACAATTTTCATACGATGCACTTTCCAATTCAGTCACCCTTTGAATTTTCTCTAAAGCCTCGTGTGTGTGTGTGTGTGTGTGTGTGTGTGTGTGTGTGTGTGTGTTTCAGTATTCAGTGAGCCTTCAGAGTGAGGAGGAGATCCAGCAGCAGTACCAGCGTAGACCAGGACAAACTCCCAGTGTGACTGGACACGGGCGACATCTGGAGTCTTGCCTCCACACGGCCTTCAGCCACTTCTCTCTTCCCATACCCCTGAATGTCACGCCGGGTTTCAGCAGAGACATTGGTAAGTCACTCAAGCTGAATTATGTCTGACTCACGGCTCAATCATATCTCAACAATTACTTGTAGATCAGTGTCATACAAACTAAGTAGGCATAGTTCATCAATTGCCTATATAAGCTAAGCACAATTCCAGGTTCCTACTATCATTAGTTTTCTGATGAATGGCAGGATGTTTTTAGATGTTTTCCTTGCATACATTTTCAGAAGGCATCTAAAAATGACATAATCTTGAAAAGTCCTTCAAACTTTTCTGAGTGTCTGTACTATGGCTCCATATAGACTCTCAGTAGTGTGGATGAAGTTCAGATAGAATGAATGTCCTATTGCTGACAGCAGATTCTGCAGCACAGGCCTGTAGAAACATAGTTTTGCAGGTAGAGGACTTAGATATTGTAGCTTCTCATATGCAAGGCACAAAATATGGTTCAAAATAAGTAAAGGATTTCATAAATACATTGCAGCTGTGACTACAATCTAGCTTGCCATCGCCAGTGTGTGAATGTGTGTGTGAATGAGTGAATGACTGAATGTAGTGTGAAGCGCTTTGGGGTCCTTAGGGACTAGAAAAGCGCTATACAAATGCAGGCCAAGGATTTCATAAATATTAAAGTTTGAATAAGAAAGTTTCATCTAAATCGCATACGATATTCCCCTGGTATGACACCACATAAACCCATATTAACCTCTTTCAGAAAGCGTGAGTTTGTGTTAGCCATATCAAATAGATGTTCTCCATCATTTTCGTATGTAGTTTTCAAAATATTCATATTTATGTATGACAGCCAAAGATTATAATAAATTCTAATACTTGTAAAATTTAATGTTTTTAAGATAAAGGGGCTAAACTTCACCCAATGCTTCTTACTTACTTCTCACTCATAATTTGTAGCAGATGTTCCAAGGCAGTATTTTAACGTTTTTATTAAAGTACCGGCCAGGCTTCCCAGATGAAGTGTGAGTTTTCATCCATTATTTGATGGAGTGCAGGATAAAATGATCAGTTGTTATGCACGATGCACATTTTGTTTCTGAACCAAAACAACACCCTGTGTAAGCTGGGCTGAGTCATAATCGGGCTGATGCT